CAAGGACCCAAATGCCAGTGGAAGAAGTGATACAACAAGTGACGTCCAACCTGGTGGAGGGACCCTGGACGCAGACTCCCATACGTAAGAACTCGTTCGTATCTGTGGCTGTACCGTTGACACACAGAGTGTCAGAAAAAATTAAAAAGCAGATTTGGGGGAATGAGTATGTAGATTTTGCTGTTATCTTTAACAATAGCTCTAACAGTGAAGACCACTACACTTTCAAGGTACAAAATGGACAGGGAGGGGGACAACCTACCCTTTCCTTGGTGCCGAGTGTTAAAAAGCAGCCAGTCCACACCATTGGACAATGGACTACTGCCTTCCAGGCATTTGTAGCGGTGTATTGTTACCGTTTCCCTTCCGAAACGGCCCAATTGATGAAATATGGTGCCACAGTCAGAGACCTGGCTCAGCGGGGTGCGCATTGGAAATTTTATGACGAAAATTTTCGCATGTTACACCAAGGTGAACTTATTCCATGGGACCAAATCCATAGTGAGCTGTGGCTAAGGGCCAGTGTCCCCAAAGTCAAACAGCCTCTCCCGGTCAAGTCAACAACGAAACAAAGTGGATCGTTTTTTCAAAGGGGGTTTTGCTGGACTTTCCTCAGGGGGGCAACTGCACAGGGCGTGAATTCAAACACCAGTGCCCTAAATGCGGCCTTAATCACCCCCTTTCCTGCTGCCAGCAAAACCAGAAACGGGCGGGACAGCGGCCAATTTCAAAACCAGGGTTGCCAGGCAACAGCTCCACCCACTCCGCTACCCACACCAGTCAAGGTTAACAGACTAGCCTTTTATCTTCCCGGTTATGGCGACCAATTGCGAAAACATTTGATTGATGGTTTTACTTGTGGATTTAGATTACATTTTCAGGGCCCCATTAAGGCTTCAGGTGCTCAAAATTTGATTTCTGCAATACAACACCCAGAAGTGGTGGACAGCAAGTTAACTAAGGAAAGGCAAAGTGGCCGTATACAAGGGCCCTTTAGTTATCCACCTTTCAGTAATTTACGAGTATCACCTCTGGGGGTAATACCAAAAAAAGGCCCCCGGAGAATTTAGAATGATCCATCATTTATCCTTTCCTTATGGTGATTCAATTAACACATTCATTCCATCAGAATTTTCAACGGTTAAATATGCGACAGTAGATGATGCCATCAACTTCATAAAATTTTTAGGACGGGGCTGCGTGTTAGCCAAGACTGATGTGCGCAGTGCGTTTAGAATAATACCAGTACACCCTTCTGACTACTCCTTATAAGGTTTACATTGGAGGGGGCAATGGTATTATGATCGTTGTCTCCCCATGGGCTGTTCTAGCTCATGTGAAACTTTTGAAGGTTTAAGCACAGCAATGGAGTGGATAGCTTGCAATAAGCTCGATATTCCACACATTTTGCACATCTTAGACGATTTCCTTATAATTGGAGAGTCCACCTCAGATTGCCAGGCTAAACTTCAAAGGTTTTTACATCTTTGTGAAGATGTAGGAGTTCCCATGGCTTCAGAAAAAACAGAGGGTCCTTCCCCAGTACTCACATTTGCGGGCATTGAATTGGATTGCCTTCAGTATGAAGCCAGGCTTCCTCAAGAAAAGGTAGACAAATGCATTGAAGGTATAAAAAACGCTCAGGCTCGCAATAAGATCACCCTTCGGGATCTGCAATCCCTGATTGGCTTGTTGAATTTCGCATGTTCAGTGATTGTTCCTGGTAGAGTATTTCTACGTCGAATGATCAACTTGACAATTGGGAAAAATAACCCCCATCATTACATTCGGCTTACAAAAGAGATACAGCAGGATTTGCACATATGGGAAATATTTTTCCAATCCTTTAATGGCAGATCTTTTTTCTTAGAGGAAGCTTGGGCAACTTCATGTCAGCTACGATTTTATACTGATGCAGCCAAATCTCAAGGTTATGGCATAGTCTTTGGGTGCCACTGGGCATATGGGGAATGGCCAAACAATTGGAAAGCCAACCGTGAGATTTCTTTTTTCGAGTTTTTCCCAATAGTTGTCGGTTTAAGCATGTGGTGTCACACTCTAAGGAACAAGAGGGTTTTATTTATGACAGACAATGAAAGTGTTGTTCATGTTATTAATAAGCAGACATCAAGGGACACATACTTGCTATCCTTGATTAGAAAGATGGTGTTGATATGTTTGCGGAATAACATCTTATTCAGGCCAAAACACATACCAGGCATTAAGAACGGCCTAGCTGATAGTTTGTCTCGGTTGCAGGTCAGCAAATTCAAGAGCATGTCTCAAGGGATGGATCGGGTCCCAACCCCCCTACCCAGACATCTGAGGCCGGAGATTTGGGAGATACCCTAAGACGCTTGCTTGAAGCTAGCCTCAATAACGCTTCGTTGTATACGTATAGACAGCCTTGGGAAATTTTACTTCAGTTTAAAAGAGAGAGATTACCAGCAACAACTCCTATTTTTCCTCTTTCAAGTGACACATTGGCACTTTTTCTAGCTTATTTGGCAGAGAAAAAATATGCCGGGTCAACGGTAATGACCTATGTGTTGGCTGCGAGTTATCCTCATTGGTTAGCAGGTTGGCCAGATCCCACAAAAAATGAAATGGTGAAACTAGCTCTGCGTGGATATAGCAAGCTATATCCTTCACAAGACACTAGGCTCCCAATTACATTGCCAATATTGGAACGCATTATAACAGCATGTAATCAATTCTCTTCGGTGTGTTACCAACGAAAACTGTTACAGGCAATGTTCTCCCTTGCATTTTGCAGGAGAAATTACTGGGGGCCCTGGTCAACATACAAAAAACGTAATAATGTTCGACCAGTTGTTTTTTCTACGAGATGACCTCTATAGCATTGTGGCAGCTAAATTAGTCTTGAAACATTATAAGCACAGTGATCCAACGCAAGCAGTAGAGTTGCTCATTTACAGAGATCAACCCATTTGTCCAGTGTCTCAGATGCTAGATTATGTTTCAGTGAGGGGAAATGCCCCAGGGCCACTGTTTTGCTGGGCTGATGGTTCACCTATTTCTAGGTCGTATTTTACTAGGTCTCTAAAAGAAGTTTTACAATATTGTAACCTTGATGAAGATAGATATAAAACACAGTTTTTGCATTGGCGCAGCCTAATGGGCTGCAGCAAAGGGAATGTCTGACTCTCAGATAAGAGTATTTGGTAGATGGAATTCCAATGCATTTCTTAAATACATTCGTATGCCAACCCTAGGGACGGAATCGTGACTTTGCAAGCATAGCCTTTCTATTATGCCCAATGGCCTCGCATCATAGAGTAACCGTTTGACATACATGTCCGCGTTCACAGGTTAACGCCTTCAGTACGATCAAGTTTGCAGTGTTCTTTCTAGTGTACTGATTTTGACCCTTTGAGCAGGGGCCAAGGGTTCAATCTAAAAGTTTATGAATCTGCCTCTTTAGTAAGGGGACTAGTCCTAAATCTGTTGACCATTTGTGCATGGGCCAAAGGTCAAGAGATGGTGGATTTCAGAAGGTGTTAAGTTACTTAGAAGGGGACCTTTTGAGCAGGGGCCAAAAGTTTTCAGCAATAAGTAATGTTAGAGGTCAGAGTTTTAACCTTTGAGCAGGGGCCAAGGTTAGAGCTCACCAAATTATGTACCATAATCTATATAGCTATTACTGTTTTGCTGAGACTGAATTGTGTTGTTACGTTAATAATAAACATTTTACCCAGTATTGGGAATAGATATTGTTAGCAGTTGAACTTTGAACATTGGACACTTAATG